GCTATATTACATTAATCTTGCTGCAACTAGTTTTAATTGAAATTTAGCTAAATCTTGTCCAAGACATTGTCAATGACCAGTACCAAATGGAATCCATGTATATGGATGATGATGTTGTCGACCTTGATCTAAAAATCTTTCTGAATAGAACTTATTTGGATCAATTGACCATAATTTAGTGTCAACTGCAAGATTATAAATTAGAATAAATATTTGATCATCTTTGAATAGTTGAATACCACTTGTTGGTAAATAATCATCAGTTGTTAATATACGATATGTTCCAGTAAAGGGTGGAGAATAACGAAATACTTTTTTAATAACACAATCGAGATAGATTAGTGAATTAAGTTTTTCTATAGGTAAATCTCGTTGAGCATTGTTATTCATCAATTCGGATTTAATCTTCTGTTGTACATGAGGATGGTTACTTATCAAATGAATGAAGCAAGCTAGAGAAGTTGCACCTGTTTCAAAACCAGCAACCAGAAGCAAGAGCATTTCATGTAATACTTCATTTCTTGATAGACCTATTATCGATTAAAAACAAAAGATAATAGTACATTACGTAGATAAGAAGACATATTGGATCATTATAATATCGAACTAGTGATGCTGTAAGTTTCTTACGAGTTTTTTCTTGTTCATTTTTCTTTTTTTCAGTTTGTTCATCTTTTTGTAATGACGCAACAAATGAAGTTATTAAAGATATTCTTTTTCGTTGTATTATTGATTCTTCACATTGATCTAATTCATTATCGATCATACGATTAAATAGCGGCGTTATAACGCCACTATTGCAATCGCATTGTGATCTCTTTTAGTGCTCCACCGCGCTGTTATTGCACGCTATAACGTTGCATCTTTCACTATTTTAGTACTTCTATACGTCTGCACTCTTAGTACATTCTGCTGGTTCATTTTTAAAGGCATGTTTCTAAATCAGTTCCATGATTTTCTTTCAAATTTCATTTGAATATGTAAAAAAATACAATTAATAGATACCAATAACAATAAACAAAGTTATTCGTGTACAAAATCAATTTATTCCTTGTGTTTCATAAATTTTATTTTTGTTACCGTCATTCTTCTCTTTGTAAGAAAAACTGCCCGAAGCCATTCATTAAATATTTGTTCTACTTGATCATCGGTAAGTTTAAACTTAACAGGAACAGATTCTAAAAATAAAGAATTACGATTTTAACATGAGAAAAACCGAATTATTACCTTTTTATCAATTTATATCGGTTATCATTATAAATATCAGCTCTCTCGTAGTGTACATCAATTGGATTAAAACTGTTACATAAAGATTTGCTGTATCTTTTGTACCACGGGTTCTGAGTAAATCGACACCAAGTTTATTTTCAGATGATTTAAAAATCCAGATTTAGAAAATAGAAATGAGAATATAATTGAAGGGTGAGTGTGGGTTTCAGTGTGAATACGATTAATCCCATTCACATACCCTAGCCATCCCCTTCCCCCACACTCCGTCCTTCTTCTTGGTTGATTGGCAGTTTTTCTAAATTTCTTCTTTACGATCAGCAAATTTTCGAATTCTTCTGTTTAGTTGTTACAAAGTTTTTTACTTTTTTCTTGTATAGCTGAGAGCCTACAATGACTTGAAAAACCTTCATTTTCGACCGTTTTTAATCGAACATTCTGAAAAAATGCTTCTAGTTGATTTTCAATTACTGCGATTATTTTCAAGAACTGAATAACTTTATCTATGACAACAAGAAAAAAAT